GTCTGGGGAAGATGCCCCGGAACATGCTCCCTCTGAAAATCAGCGTCTTGAACGCTCCGTGAAAGGGTGACCAGCCTATCCAGGTCTGCAAAAGAAGAAGGCTTCGGAGCAAAAATCAGTCTGGACCGCTCCTCAGGCTTCAACCCCTGCAAGACAATGTCCACCAGTTGGTTTTCAGGGATGCCCAGCCGTAGGACACGCCACACGCCACAAATGTCACCCACATACTGACTGAGAGTTTCATCAAATTTTTGAGGACGAAACACCCTCTCAACTTTCAATCTCTCCATGACCCTGAAGGGGACAAAGAGCTCAAGCACTTCACTGTGAAAAATTTCAAAATTTACTCCCCGTTTCAAACAATCTAACAATTTGTCACCAAGAGGTCTCAGGCAGAGTGGAACCAGTAGTTCCAACACTACTGAGTCCTCCATGCCTGGGAACTCCTTCAGGTGCAACACCTTTCCCAAAAACTCTAACAAAGGTTCCACCTCTAAACCATCAACCGGGCGAATGTCGCTCAAAACCCCAGCAATGGGATTGGGCAGTGGAGCAAACAAACCCATTTTGTTCTCAGTCAGTCGGCCTACTTTCAAAACACACACAAACAAATTTTACAACAAACAATTCACAAACTTAACTAACTAAAGGCTCTAGACTGAAATGCCTACAGTCAGATGAGGTCCCAAACAGAAGAACCTGCCCATACACACCGCCTTAGCCACCAAAACAAAAACACGGACCTTACACTCACGACATACACACAACATACATACACTAAACGACAACACCTAACATTTGTGTGATGAGGTAAACACACACACACAGTTTCAATTTTGGGTTTGGCCATGCTTTTGACACACTTGCTCCCAAAGGGCAAGTCATTAACCAGATTCCACCCGGTGACTCGGCCAAGGGCGAGCTCCTAATAAAAACTACAACAGTGTGCTTACCCCACCACGACAACATTTCTTCAAAAAATTCCCAAGACTGCCAGACCAGCATCACCCAAAAATCAAATCCATCCACGGCCCTTCAAAACAAATCAGAACGTGGACAGTGATCGGATCTCTAAGTATCCAAGTCGTGAAACCGAAATTTCACGACAAGGCACCCAGGACGCAACCAAAAAACCACGCTCTGCTACCATCTGAGCCGACCCCTCGCACCGCCCCCAGACGAACAACTTTTGGAAGCATGCCCCCCCATAGTGACAGTGCGAGTGGCCGCCCCACATCCCTAACAAAATGAAAGGCCGTGGGTGAATATCAAAAAACAAACAGTTGTCAACAAAGCCTATAATTTTCAAAATCTACAAATAACATCAAACAACGATCATTTCCCCATCCAAAGAATTTATCAATTTTAAATAACACTTTTCTCAAAAAATTTACCCTTCCAGATTACAAATGGTAACTTAACTGTGAAAAGTTAGGCCTAACTAATAATTTAAGGATGGTAACTGCAATATAAACTTTGAATGAATTAACAATTAAATAAATAACAATTAAATAAATAACAATTAAATAAATAACAATTAAAAAATAACGATGACTATGACACATAAATAACCGAAGATGAATTATTTTGGGGCCCCTTTAAATAACAGTCCTTTTAAATATTCATGCCTAAACATAAAACTTGCGGTTTCCTTTTGCACATCATAGTCATTGTCCTTCCTGGTGGTAGGCGGTGGTGGTAGAAGGCGTAGTGTTCTACTGGTCCCAGAAGCAGGGTGACGGGCAGCCCGAAGAAGGAGAAGTTGTAGTGTCTCCCCGGGCGACCCTCTCCGGAAGCAGCAGAATGAAGCCTCTCATCTGGGACCTCATCTGACGACTACGGCGCACAAAACTACATCAGAAAGAGTTAAGGCAATGAAGATAAAACAGTCTTCTCTGACGATGGACGCAGATACATATTTATGCACATTAACAACAAAACAAACTGTGTGTGTAGTAATGACAGTCGCTGTCCTTCTGCCGAAAATGTGTCCGACAGCGGAAAAATTGCCCCGGGGTCTGCAGGACTGCTGCCAGACCCAAACCGATTGAGTTCCGGCGCAAAGCCAGCACTCGCACTATACAAAAACACTGAGGCGTGACATTGGTGGGACGCTCGGCGTACAAGTCACGGCTCAACGTAGAATAAAAAATAACAGTAGGCCTAGGCGAATACTTGAAAGGCTAGAGCGGTTAACGTAGTCTAAAATCTCACAACTCTCCGTCAGCTGCTACAGCGATCTTAGCTTGAGCTCACCAAGTACTATCAGACTATCCAATCACTGGTCCAACTGTTTCGGGCGCCATTTATGTGACGTAATTTTCCTGGCGGACGACAAGTGGGAAATTACGCCACCGGTAATAAAACGAGGATCCCAGGATTCGCCCTAGTCTGGTCGCGGGGAGTTTCCCAGGAGTCGATAGTGATTCGGATAGCCTAAATTTGATAGCCCTGGTTGTCAGAGCTCGAGACGAACGTTGCGGGTTACTAAACACCCTACTCGAAATCACCACTCTAGCCTAGGGCTTGTGGGGAAATAAATAATTTTGACTTGACTCTGTGGGCAAATATCTAAATGACACACTACTAGCTAACTTAACAAATCAACAAGTAAGCTAAGTAGTCACTCCGCTTACCTACGGAGTTACGTCGTCAACCTGAAACAAACAAGGTTAGTACAAGATAGGCCTAACCTAGCCTAACTCCCACAGAGTCTGAATTTACTAAACAAGAAAACGAGTTGGCTTAAGTTGTCCAAGTGAGACACGAAACGAGAGAAAAACTGAAACTAAAAATAAAACTGCTTCAGGAGCTGATACGAAAAAAAGAAAAACTAAAACTTCAACTTCCCCACGTGTTCAACTTAAGCAAACTTCTGCAATAATTATCAAGCAGAAACCTGTCTGCTGGGGCCAACTTCGGGGCGTTCGGGAACTTTACAAAGGGGTTTAAGAATTTAAAAAGAAAGTCCCAGATATGGATTACGAAATGATCTGTCACCAACTCCGATACTTTAATTAAATGAGTTGGTTAAAGCGTATGACGAGGTCTGCGAATCAGGCCTAGCCTATGAACTTCGACAAAGTTCTGCCGAAAGAAAAACCTAAGTTGTCTAAGTTTTATTGTACAACTTACCAAACGAAGTAGTAATACTGTAAAAAACGATTTTTCGCGCACTCGATGCACCACAGAACTTACTGTGACTTTTACGACGAAGTAGTAGCACGAAAACTCTTCAAATCGAAGACGAAAGGACGAATAATTAGCGAATGCCTCAACAAAAGCCGGGAATACGAATGAACCCAAAAAACTTCACAAATCTTCTTCTTACTTCACCTTTGTCTCAGAATCGAGACGAAAGTTAAAACGATTCCTGATTGGTCAACGAGTTACCGAAACAAAAAAAAACTGGCAGCGAAGGCAGGCGCATGGCAGCTTTAACAGGCTTACAGCCGCGTACCGCTCAAAGGTGACCCCGCTGCTCATCTTCTCTCCCGTAGCCCGGCCTCAGACGCAGTCGAACAGCCAAACAACCAAACTGACACCAACGTCGTCTGCGGTCTTGGAATTGGAGGTTAGGTACGACGTCAGTTTAGTGTCGCGACTAGGCTTACTCAACAGCTTATGTTTAGCTGTTTAATGTTCGTGGTCTAGATCGTTATTTTACCCCCTACACATTTGACCCGTTACACGTACGCACGAGTCAGTACTACGACTATCCGCAGTACTATCCTGATAATTAGACCAATTCGTATATACCAAGGAAAAATGTGGTTCGGATTCCACTATAAACTGTAGGTCCCTTAGTTGCCATTAGCTGTATGGGCTATTAATTAACAGCTGTGTCTAAGGAATGTCGGCCTTAGTCATTAGTGTAGAAACATACAGACAGCGTAGCGTAGCGCAACGTAGCGCAGCGCAGCGTAGCGTATAGGAGCGCAGCGTAGTCCAATACACACAGAGAGCGCAGCGTAGCGTAGCGCAACATAGGTTGTAGACGGTCTTAATTGGTACATCAGTATAGAAGATAACACTGTCGAAGACGGCTCGTATTAGTTTTGTCGAAAATACCTTAAGGTGGCAGTTTTTGATCAGTAGGAGAAGTGTCGGGGTGCATGAAGTGTGTAAAGGCAGGAACAAGCATGGTGAATACATCTTATTTCCAATCCTTAGGAAACACGAGTCTCGGTTTAAGAATTATACAAGAATGTCGACTACAACGTTAGATTACATATTTAGTTTGGTGAAGGATGATTGAGAGAAGCTTACAACTAATTGAAGAGGACCAATTGATGCAGAAAAGAGACTAGAATTGACTTTTAAGCGTGTCTGCAGTCGAATGCGCTCCAATACGCTCTGAGAAAAACAAAATAGTTTGTTCCTCGGTCGTACGCTGCGCTGCGCTGCGCTACGCTACGCCGAAATACGCTACCAGTATGTCATACCTCATTTCAATGCACGGTTTTGATTTAAAACATGCGCTGCGCTGCGCTACGCTACGCTGTCTGTATGTTTTTACACTAACAAGACTACAAGATCGCGCCATTCATCCTACACTCATCTCCATTCATACTTGGCTCAAAATACCTACTATGTATGGTCGCCATTTCATTGAACAGTATTGAACATACGTGTAAACTAAATCATTGCATAGATAGTAGATACTCCATTATGAATTAGTGCAACAGTTGTTTTGGTAGGCCAGGACTGCCGCGTTGCCACTTCTCGCTGCGGCCTTATATTAGAGAAGGCTATGGTAGAGCCCATCAAAATTAGCCTAATTATCATTATTTGATGTTATAAGAGTGTCAAATGGTTGAACTTTACTGAATAAAAAAATATCTGTATTTAAATTTTGTTTAAGTACAGTATTAGTCGCAGTGAATACAAAGGGTTCTCCATGTTTCCTTACAAATATTTCTTTTTGATGAATAAAAAAAAATAAATAAAAATGTTGTTGATATTGAATAATCATCTGCAAATAATGTCTTTTATTTCAGGTACGCAAAATGAGAGTAGCTAAACGCATAAATGAAATTGTGAATAGGCTTAACAAAACAAAAACTACAAAAGAAGTGGATTTGAGAGCGGAAAGAGAAGAAAGAGACAGATTAGAAAGAGAAGACCAGAAAAAAATACAGAGAGCATTGAGGGAGAAGCAAAAGGAAGAAGAGAAAAAGAAAAAAGAAGAAGCAGAACTAAGGTGAATTATACAAAAGCCAAAGCCGCAGTTCAATATTAGTATTGGATTAGTACCTTTCATTTAGCTTATAGCAAATTTTTCATATAGGGAATCCAAACTTTGGTAACATCCAGGGTGTCTAGTAGTCAGGAAAAACATAAAACATAAACAAAAAAATTTTAAACTAAATAATTAAAATCATTCATTACAAAGGATTTATATAGTAAACCTAAAAATGAGTGCTATAACTTTTAAAAATCACAAAATCTTAGAAGGTTATGTCAGATTAAAACTAAGTATCTGGAATTCAAAAGAACGATTTTGAGACTCAAACCCCTGTTCCCATAGTCCTATCATACTGGTTCGCAAATTTGTTCCAATAAACGTAGGTTTACAAATTTGTACCAAATTTCATCAAAATCGGATAATTTTTGCATGGGAAATTCGCTAAAAACACAATATTATGACGATAGGCCGGCCACATTGAACACGGTACAAACCGACGCAGGTTAGATGGCGGACACGACAGAACTATCCATGGTCCAGTTGGTGACATTGACCTTGGGGGAGGGGGTATGTCAGCTGATAGAGACTTGTAGTAGCTCTGATGTAGTCTTTATCATCTGACGTACCAAACACCTAACCTAAATACCTAACCTAAGCTACCCAGACTTGATGTATGGTCAAGTTTCAAGACATATATCTTAGCTCTAATGTAAGAAAAACTACAAGGTTTCTGTGTTATGTAGTAATTTTAATTCTTTTTTTTCAGAAGCTACACCACACTGATGAAACCAGAAATGATGACTTCAAATCAAGATGGAAACGACTCTGACGACTTTATGTGATCGATTTTTACTAGTGCCAAAGTGATTTCAAACTGAGTGTAAATAATTGAAACATTAAAACAGTCCTGCATTTACAGCATTGTGAGATAAACTTGTGTTAACACTTTATTGTATCTTGATAAAAAATTGGTTTTGTTAATTCTCTTAATTTGCTTTGTTATTATAATTTTTTATTTGGGAAATAAAACTTCTTTGACAGCCTTAGATGGTACCTGCTTTTTATTTTATGCAATGCAATGCCTACATTTACACTCTTTAAGGTATTTTTTCAAACAATTGTACCTATTTAATTGTAGTGTTGCTCATTGAATTAACTCCAAATATTAGGCCATATTTTCTCCTTTTGATAATAACTTGAAAGTAACTTTGATAAACCTTGACTGTATTTTATCCAAAAATCTTCAAACAACATAATACCCCCGCCGCAGCAAACCTGCAGACTAAGCGAATTTCAACTTGTCTGATTACATTTTTACTAAAATATTTCCATAAATAAGACATAATTATTCCCAATTTAAATAACATTAGATTTAACGAGTGCTTAGGTTTGCTGCTACGGGGAAGGTAAAAAGTGTTTTTTGACCATACGTCAATAGTATAGGATGAAATAAATAAATTTGCCTAATGGTATCAATATATATCCATAAACAAGTAAACTACAACAGTTTTCATTTTCTTCATAAGAATAACATGGGAATTTTAAATTACACTATTTTTTAATTTTTTCCGTGACCGTTAGGCATACATCAGCGCTTCAATATACTAAATTATTTCTTTTTTTAAGCTCTACCAAACGGTTTGGAATGAAATTGCAAATTTTTTTTGTTTATATGGTCAAAAATGGGAAAAACCCATTTTTACCCCATAAAACCCCCCCATAAACCCCCGTTCCCATGGTCCGATTATGCTGGTTCGCGAACTCGTTCGAATAAACCTAGGTTTACACGTTTTTACCAAATTTCATCAAAATCGGACCAATTTTGCTCAAGTTATTGCGCTAACGGGCACATATATATATATATATGAATTTGAACGGATGGTGTTTCTCTAGGGACCTCAAAACGAAAACTCAAAACGAAAAATCAAATCGGTCCCGGGTCCAGGTCTTACTATGAGTACTACGGTAATAGCTTATTCCCCATATGGGAAATTCGCTAAAAATATACTTTAAAAATTTAATCCAACCACACTGTGCTGATTTGAGGTGGATTGGTTTAGGTAAGAGTGTGCTTAGTGAATGGGGAAATATAAAACAAAATTAAGTTTAAGGCTAGGTCATTGTGAGTAAAATATTGAATATCAGGCTCAATTGTGTTCAATCATTGAGTTGATGTATATTAAAACAAGCGATACCACCAACTGACACATACCTCCCATTAGTTTGACATTACAATACTGAACACTCAACTCCTTTTATGAACGGATTATCCTGGGTAAACGGAAGGGTTAACTATGACGTTTTATGGGGAAATCACAAAACAATAACTTTTGAGCCATAGAATTTAAAGTATTGGGGGTTTGTCGTATTGTTCAAGGACTTTAAGACACAAAATTTCAAGAAAATTGGACCACACATGTAGCTTTGTACACATCCATCCATGCACACACAGGATATTAATTTGAAAACCACTACTCTTGTTTATGAGGACTCAGAGGATACTTCCACTCAAACTCAAACACCAAAATCAATACTTCCTCCACATAATATGTATAGGGAGAAAGTGAAAGTGTATATTCCTTTTTAACCATATAGGGGATTTTTATATCTAAATCTAATTGAGTCTACTGTACTAAATGTAACCTTGGAGGACTTCACTGACTTCAGTATCCTAAAGTCAATTATTCAACTAACTCTGAAAAATTATTGTTGAGAGCCATGTTGATGCTTTTTGAGCAAGAAATCCATTCCTAGACACATTTTAGAAAAATCAGATTTATTGATTTATAAATATTAATGGTTTATGAGGGAATATTTTATACTTGCTGGAGTTTATTTAAAATTTGTACAGTATCTAATTAGACTCTGTATCGTATATTTGAATATATCTCATCACTAGTTAGGTGACTCTTTTCGACCCGAGAGCAAGTTTTAAGATTGAGGGTTGAAAAGACACTTTTTGCTTGTGTGATGAACTATATTTTGTGTCTTATAGCACCATTATTTGAACAAACTATGTTACAAAACTAAAATAGTTTTCAGATAACTTCTCAAAACTACTTCTTACTTGTTTTCAATTTAATTTGCTAATGGAAACAAGCAGCTGTTTAGTAAGTGATTCAATAGTTTTGTCTTTTTTGATTGTGTTAGTGTACATTATACTATCAATATGTCGAACTATTCAAAATAAGGCAACAATTAACTACAATCAATAAAACAACTGAATCGATACATACCGGTACTTTTGATACATGCAATTGTTTACAATCGAAATTTACAACCGAGTCGACAACAGCTGATTTTTACTCCCTAGGGGCCAAAACGATTTTTACTCCCTAGAAAGTAAAACTACTGCAAAAAATAAAAATTACCGCTATGAAACCAGGTTTATACCAGTATGATATAAAAAGGGAAAATAAATAAATCATTTTATTTACAGAAACTAAAATTATACAATATGTCATAAAAATATTATTTTACTATGCACTATAACTATGAGTTGTCTGTGTTAGCTGACTCCGGGATCCGCTGCATCGTAACATTGCAGAAAAGCAGAAGGTGGGGTGTTGGAACTCATCTCTGGGCCAGGATTGGGCAATACTGGTGACTCACTGCCTTTTGACCCTGGAAGTGATATGCAAACTTATGCAGCAAACTGTGGCTGTCAATTTGGAAACAGCCTCTTCCTCGCATTTAAACTTGTATTTTGATAATGTTCCATTGCATTAGTTTTCCCTACCTATGTCACAATGTAGTTACAATTTAAAGAATTCTAAGCTATTCCAGTGATACTATTACTTTGCGATTGTGTCCAAAGCATTGAGTCGACCTTAGTATGAACGTACGACTTGATTAGTATTACTACTCTGTTTACTGGAATTTGTGTTAGAGGTTGGATAGTTTTTCCTCGTTGGAAACTCAAAAACATTTTGATCAATAAGGTTGCACCTTTCCATCCATTCATAATCTACTTCCTAGTATCAACTACTTAGAAAGGAATACATTTACAATCCACCTTGTCCCTAAGAGAAGAGAATGTTAATAAACAAGGCCTTTAATGTTTTGTCCAAATGTTATCAACAAAAACATCAGTCCATAAAAGGAACACTCTCATTTTGAAAAAAAAACATCTATATGGGGATTTGTCTATATAATAAGATCCCCTCAAAAATAAAATCCTATACACCACAAAAATTTGAAACTTGGACTATAGCATTATTGGTGGAGAGATCATATTACTCCCTGACAGATTTCTTAAATGACCATGTCATTAATTCACCATTGAATGTGAAATATGACTCAGATTGTTTTTTTATTGATTTGTCTCTGACATTGCTTCAAGATCTTCATTTACATTTTTTTTTGCCAACTTTTTTGAATTGGTAACTTTCTCTCAATTGTACTTGTTGTATTATGTTATCCCTTGTTGTATTTTGTTGTAACGTTTTAGTTTTTATGACTTATTGATCGACCATGCATCTGTTCACCACTGCCTTTGTAATAAAGAATGTGTTATGCAATAAAATACTTATGGCTTAAAAGGTATTGTAACAATTCAATAAGAAGGTTTTCAGGCTGATGCAATGAATTTTTAAAACATTTGAATTTTGTTTTTAAACCCAAATAACAGCTCTACCTATAAGCACACTAAGGCCCGGTTTCCCCAAAATGGTGTAAACTTTGTTTATAATAAACTAGTTTATTTTTAAACTCCGTTTAAAATGTGTGTTCGGTTTTTTCTGACATTTTACTGGCTTCGTTTAAGATAAACGGCAATTCGAGCAGTTGGCAATCCTGAATGTGTATTTGTAAAGAATCTTCGGTGGGCTTTGGGCTAGTGTTTCTTACAACTTACAACACAACGCTCGCTACGCTACGCTACAACTCGGTAGAGCAGACGAGCAAAGTGTGAATGCTGCTAGAATAACATCACTGTTTAAGGTTATGTTATGTTATAAAGTTAATATTTCTTTTACAACAAGAAGAATTCTGTCCCTTATTTTAGTAGGCCCTCTTGTTCTTGGTATCAAAGTGTTATAATCTTCATATTCAACTTCATCGAAAATGTCAATTAACTCCTCCATTTGAGTTAAGACAAATACTGCAATTAATAGTAGCCTAACTTGCAAAAAAATCAATGTACAAATAAAAAGAACTTAATAAACAAAATAAATTAAAATATAAATAAAACTTAACTTAATTATAGGCCTCTACAATATAAGCTAGCCCTAAGCCAAGCCTATTTTCGTCCAAATAAATTTTTTGATGCTTCAATTATTAACCTACCTATTGTTTTGGAATTAGCTGTGCGGCTCCGGCATTAGAATAGACCGCAGTATCCCCTGCTCGTCGTAAGAGTCGACTAAAAGGGGGGGGAGCGCACCAATTCTTTTAGCGTCTCCTCTGCAAACCAACATTTCCCGCTTAAAATCAATAAACCAATTTTCTTTTTCCAAATCACCCTGGTCTATTGCTGTGTATGGCTCCATGTCCGGCAGTCCCCCGATGCGTTGGACGTCCGTTCAGGTAGAGGGTACAGCTTAAAAACTGGGTCTTTCTTGCACATCCCAGGCTGCCGGATAGTACAGGGGCCCGGGTCAGCTTAGCCGGCAATGACCTGGCTGCCCTATCATCCGGCGAAAATCTCTTTGGCCGTAGTAGTGCCGGATGGCGACCGGATAGGGCCCTGCTGCGGTTTTGGGGGGGCTCTGCCGAGGCCACTGCCTTTTCTGGAGCGTTCTGGGTTTCGGGGGGGCGCAGGACATGGAGTACAGCCGTGCATGGGGTGAACCAGGGTGACATTCTCACGAGGGCACAGCATAGGGGGGGAAACTTTTTTAAATATGGCAGAAAAGCAAAAAGAAAACGTTACAATTGTGCAAGAAAAAACTTCGGGTTCCCTAACCCAAAAAAAAGAGGCAGAAACGACACCTGAAGTGGATTTCGACCCGTTCAGGAGGAGCTCACGTTTGAGTCGCTCCCCTGTTCGCGCACGTCCTTTCACTCCGAGTTCCGATCCATCGCCGCTCTCGGAAACTCTGCCAGAGCAGGGAAGTGAAAAAACGACCTCGCCATACGAGGCCGTTATCGCACTGGCCAGGCAGGAAGAGGAGGACCTCCTGACAAAGTGTTTTGACACTCTCAGTCAGATGAAGTCAGCGACACGCAGACAGAGGAATGTGAACCAAGACGTTAAGACTGGGATTACCAAGCTGGAGTCCTATCTTAACCACATCCTTCATCTCCGCAAGTCTTGGAAGTCGTGTGAAAAGACCCTCGTCTCTTCGTCAACACAGACCTCGCCACGACAACAGACGTCTCAGTCCTCAACTGCGGCCAGCTCTAAGCGAGCCGCCTCAAGCCCAGCTGAGCCTGTGACCGAGAAGAAAAAGAAGGTCGACGGAAACAAACCAGGAGAGTGGGTGACGGTTGCGAAACGGAAGGGCAAGCAGAAGAACCCTCCTCAGCAGTCTGTTGTCCAGCCTGGTGACGAAACGACAAAGAAGCCCAAGAAAAAGAGAGCCTCTAAACAACGCCCTGACGCTCTTCTAATCAAGCCGACAAGCGGAAAGACATACGCTGACGTGCTTGGTGAGATACGTCAAAAGGTGAAGCCCGAAGAGAAAGGAGCTGTTATCAAATCGCTCAGAAAAACTAGAGCTGGTGATCTCCTCGTAGAGCTTGGGGATTCCTCCGGGACGAAGGCAGAATTCGGGGCCGATTTGCAATCCATCCTTGGTGCAAACGCCTCGGTGCGAATTCTTGAGCCTAAGTCGACATTGGAAGTGAGGGATCTCGACGAACTCACGACTGAGGAAGAGGTCTCCACTGCAGTTAAGTCTGTTCTCGGGGAACCCAGTGAGATGAAGATCTTTGTCTCAAAGGCCAACTCTCGAGGGCAGAAGATGGCGATATTGACGTTGGGAGCTAGAGATGGGAGAAAACTCCTAGCTGAAGGGCTCATAAAGGTCGGATGGGTGAGATGCCGGGTCCGCGAGAAGCTCGTAGCCCCAAGGTGTTAAAAATGCCTGGGGTTTAACCACATAGCTAATCGCTGCAAAGGTCCCGACAGAAGCAATATGTGCTACAAGTGCGGCGGCCAAAATCACAGGGCCAATGTATGCAGTTCCGCTGAATCTTGCGTCCTGTGCACAGAGGCCGGCTTGAAGAACGATGCCATAAAGCACGCTGCGGGATCAAGCCGTTGTGCTGCTTATAAGCAAGCACTGCACAAGATCCGCCAATCCACCCAGAAATGATAAGTGCCCTTCAGCTTAACATGCAAAGGAGCAGGACAGCTGACGGTCTGCTGTACCAATTCGCAACCGAGCAAGGCACCGATATTTTGCTGCTGAGTGAGCAATATCAGAACCGACGCTCTCCTCAGTGGTTTCCTGATGTTTCTGGGACGGCGGCCATCTGGGTCCTTGACCCCGGGAAGGTACCTATCTTAGATTCCGGTGCGGGAAACGGTTTCGTGTGGGTGCGAAGCAGAGGTTTAACTTTCTTCTCCTGCTACCTTACACCTAACCAGCCCATAGCAGATTACCGCCAGATGGTTGACTCTCTAGAGGACGGGATCCTGAACGTCGATGGTGGGGTGATTGTTTGCGGAGATTTCAACGCTAGGGCGGTGGAATGGGGTTCACCCCAAACAAACACAAGGGGACGATATGTTTTAGAGATGGCAGCCAGGCTGGGTCTTCATGTTCTGAACGTGGGCAATGTCTCCACTTTCCGTCGCCCTGGATATGGAGAGACCATCCCTGACATCTCACTGGCATCTGAAGGCCTAGCCAATCGGATTTCTGACTGGCGTGTCTCCGAGGACTACTCTGCAAGTGATCACCAGGCAATTGTCTTCGGGGTGCTTCCCGAGCGTAGGCGTCCATATGCCAACTCGGCCAACCCGCCTCGACGTTGGAACCTCGGTCGTCTTTGCCGAGACACCTTTCGGGGATGTATCGGGGATCAAACTGTTGGGGACATCGGAAGTGCCGAATTCCGTGCCACGTCGACAATGCGACTCATTTCATTGGCGTGCGACTGTTCCATGCCCAGGATTTCTGCCCGTCGTGGGAAGAAGCCAGTTTACTGGTGGACACCCGAGATTGCGGAACTCCGGCGAAGATGCCTTAGCCTCCGACGAGCAGCGCAGCGTGCCAGAAACCGGCCTGAAGCCAATGCCAGATCGGCAGAGCACAAGGCTGCCAGGCGAGATCTTCGTGGTGCAATCAACCAGAGTAAGGTCAGGTGCTGGAAGCAACTGTGTCAGGACGTCGACAACAACCCCTGGGGGACGGGTTACAAGATAGTAACCCAAAAGCTAGGGACTCGTTCACCACCTGTGGTCATGGATCCTACTGCCATGGCTGCTGTCGTTGACTCGTTGTTTCCAAAGCACCCAGTGCGACCAACTAGAGAATTTAGGAATCTTGGCACGTTCCCACCCTTTCGCGAAGAGGAACTTACCTCCACTGTCCGATCCCTCAGGAATCTAAGAGCACCCGGTCCTGATGGCATTCCTGCGGAAATCCTCAAGCTCGTCGTTGAGTACAATCCAAAGCTTATGTTGGATATGTTCAACTCCTGTTTGGCGGACGGCGTTTTCCCGACGGCGTGGAAGGTGGCTCGCCTTGTCCTGATCCCCAAGGCGAAGAGTGCACCGGGACCTCCTCTTACACCCACTGTGTATGCTTGACACTGTTGGCAAAGTGATGGAGAAGTTAATTCGTGTCAGACTGACCGAGGCTATCGTCTCTGCGGGTGATTTGTCCCCGCAGCAGCATAGTTTTCGTTCTGGTCACTCGACCATTGACGCCATCCAAGAGGTAGTTGGGGCAGTGCGGAGTGCGGAGAACCACAGTCATTGGTCGCGCCGCTTAGTTCTCCTCGTCACTCTTGACGTGAAGAATGCGTTCAACTCCGCCAGGTGGAGTGACATGCTACAGGCGCTCGAGCACACATTCCGCGTCCCTCCTTACATATTGCGAATGATTGAGTCCTACCTTTCAGACCGCGTCCTGCTCTTTGACACCAGCGAAGGTCAGCGTCGGATCTCTGTCACTTCTGGGGCTGCACAGGGATCGATCCTTGGACCTGATCTCTGGAACGTGTCTTACGACAGTCTGCTTAGACTCGAAATGCCAGACGAGACCCGCCTCGTTGGCTATGCCGACGACGTCGCTGCTCTGGTTGCAGGCAGAACCGTTGAAGAAGCAGAGCTTAAACTTGGTATAGTGATGCTCCGTGTCAACGAGTGGATGCGGGACCACGGCTTATCGTTGGCGGTTGAAAAAACAGAGATCGTGATCCTAACCAAGAAAAGAATTCCCACCGTCCTTCCTTTGCAAGTAGGCCATGCCCAATTGGAGACCAAGCCGTATGCCAAATACCTTGGTGTTATGATTGACAGCAAAATGTCTTTCGGCGAGCAGATAAAGCGAACTGTTGACAAAGCCGCTAAGGGAGTTGTTGCCCTTAGTAGGCTTATGCCAAACGTTGGCGGCCCCCGCTCCTGCAAACGCCGCCTACTGATGTCTGCCGTCCAATCAGTACTCTTGTACGGCGCTGAAATCTGGGCCCACGTGCTGGAGAGGCGTGTCTTCCGTGACAGGCTCTCCCGTGTTCAGCGTCGAGGTGCCTTGCGAGTTGCTTCCGCTTACCGCACGGTTTCCGAGCCTGCAGTCATGGTGATTGCCAGTGTCATCCCCGTCTTTCATCTCGCGAGGGAGCGACAGGCGATCTACCGCAGGAGACCTGAAGTAGATAGAGAGACTGCTGCCAGAGAAGAACGCAACCGTGAATGGGCAGCGTGAATGGGAAGCCGAGTCTCGGGGACGTTGGACCGCCAGGCTCATTCCTAGCATCCGACCATGGGTGGAACAGGAGCATGGTGAGGTTGGGTACTACTTGACTCAATTTTTTTCGGGTCACGGGTACTTTCGGGCCTTTTTGCACAGAATGGGGAGGGCTGCCAGCTCAGACTGTATGTACTGTCCAGGCATTGCAGACACGGCTGAGCATACCTTCTTCTTCTGCGACAGGTGGTATGTCCGCCGAGCCTCCTTGATCTCCGAGATCGGCGTCGACATTACTCCCGACAACATCGTTGGAGTTATGATACAGGGGGAAGGAAACTGGAACTGTGTAAAGCAGTTCGTCGAAGCCATACTTCGGGATAAGAAGGTCGACCTCGATCGGCCTTAGTTTTCTGAGGAAACCAGAAGGAAAGCCCTAGGGGCGTAGTATAAAAGGCCTAGCCCGAAGTAATGTGCGAAACAGTTCCAGGCTAGTGTCCTAGGAGACGAGGGGGTTTTTTAGCCGGTAGTCCGGGGACAATGAGCCCGCGGGAGTCCGGCACTACTGAGTGGCCATTGAGCACCTCAGTGTGCGTAAATCAGGGTGTCTAGTAGTCGGGAAAATCGGGAAAGTCGGGAATTAGTATTGAATTTCAAAATGGTCTTGAAAAGTCGGGATTTAGTCTTAAATTTGATTTCAAAGTCGGGAATTTTCATGATTTTGCCGCGATCGTCGTCTTGCGTTTACGTAACCGCGAAGGCCAATGATGATGTCTACACGGCCTCGGGAAATGTTCACGATTTTGCCGCGATAGTGGACGACGACGATGATGTTTCCGTGACCGCGGGAGATGACAATGACGTTTCCGTGGCCGTGGGAGTCAATGATGATGTCTACACGGCCGCAAGGAATTTTCATTATTTTGTCGCTATCGCGGACGACGGTGATAACGTTTCCGTGACCGCGGGAGACGACGATGACGGTTCCGTGACCGCGGGAGATGACGATGACGTTTCCGTGACCGCGGAAGATGACAATGATGTTTCCGTGACCGCTGGAGACGACGATGATATCTGCTCGGCCGCGGGAAATGTTCTTGATTTTGTCGCAAAAGCGGACGACGACGATGACGTTTCCGTGACCGCGGGAGATGGCAATGATGTCATTGATGTCTACAAGGCCACGGGAAATATTCATGATTTTGCCGTGATCGCGGACGACGACGATAACGTTTCCGTGACCACGAGAGATGACGGTGATGTCTAAACAGCCGCAGGAAATGTTCATGATTTGGCCGCGATCTCGGACGACGACGATGACGTTTCCGTGACCGCGGGAGATGACGATGACGTTTCCGTGACCGCGGGAGACGACAATGACGTTTCCGTGACCGCGGGAGACGACGATGACGTTTCCGTGACCGCGGGAGACGACGATGACGTTTCCGTGACTGCGGGAGACGACGATGATATCTGCTTGGCCGCGGGAATTTTTCATGATTTTGTCGCGATCGCGAACGACGACTATTATGTTTCCGTGACCGCGGGAGATGACGATGACGTTTTCGTGACCGCGGGAGATGACGATGACGTTTCCGTGACCGCGAGAGATGACAATGATGTTTCCGTGACCGCGGGAGACGACGATGATATCTGCTCGGCCGCGGGAAATGTTCTTGATTTTGTCGCGATCGCGGACGACGACGATGACGTTTCCGTGACCGCGGGAGATGACAATGATGTCATTGATGTCTACAAGGCCGCGGGAAATGTTCATGATTTTGCCGTGATCGTGGACGACGACAATCACGTTTCTGTAACCGCTGCAGTCAATGATGATGTCTAAACGTACGGTACGCAGAAGATTTCATGATAAAAAAAACCAAATTTACTAGTTAGAATTTTTTATTGCTGCATTATTTCTTTACTTGAAAACACCACATTATCATAATACTACTTTATGACAAAGACAGGGGTTGGTGTAGTATTATTTAGAAAATTTGGTTAAGCTATAAAAATTGGTATCGGTATCAAGAATTGAGAATGGATAAATTTTGGTATCACACCCACTAATTGTTGAAAAACTAGTCTTGAAAAATTTGGAATTAGTCTTGAAAAGTCTGGAATTAGTCTTGAATTTTATAATGGAAATAAACTAGACACCCTGGTAAATGCATTTTTACCTCCTCCCCATAAAAAAAAAAAAAAATTGTTTTGGAATTATTTGAGGTTATGTTACTGTTGTATTTTACTAATTTGAACTCAGTTTATTTTATCTCCAGTAACTTAGTTAAACCAAGTCGAGAGGTGGTTTAGTTTGAACTTAGATTAATACCTAGTTTTAATTTGGAGAAACACAAATCAAGGTTAAACCAAGTTTAAATCACCGTTTAATTTAAAATTAAGTTTAAATGAGTTGGAGAAACCGGGCCTAACTCATTTAACTATTAATTATCTGTTGTGCAGTAAAAATATTTACATTTTATGTAACAAAATAAAACCAGCTGTTCCCTTAATTAATGGTGCAGATTCAAAAGTAGCTGGAGGTTGATTAGGAACCTCTGGAGGTTGATTAGGAACCTCCATGCCAATTCCTGAGTTTTTATGGCTTGTAATTTTTTAAATATATGTATCAGTGAGTGAGCGGTATTTGAATTTTATACGTACAGATTTCTAAAACAGTTACCTGTCAGTTAATTAAGAAAACTGAGTGGAATAATAAATGCACTACACTAAAGAATCTTGCACCTACCTTGGGCCTGATGAGTGTGCAGCTTCAAGTGACTTCGCAGTGAGTCCTGGCGTACAAACGAAGCCTTACAAAAGGAACATTTATGTGGTCGGACAGTTGCTAACACGCCTCGCTTTCTGTTCATCCCTCCTGTCTTCTTAATTACATCTGCGTACAAATATAAAATATTTATACACTCCAATCTCCAAATAAAAATGTGTGGTTTTGCAACATTTTCTAATGGGGAAAATTTTATTTAACACGTTGAGTGCTGAAAACCTTTAAACAGACGCTTGCCAATGGCGACGAGGCCCAGGCAGAGCCCCGACGCACCACTGAATCAGCGATCGCAAATAGCATTCAAATATTTCAGTTAGACGAATCACAAAAGAGGAGTGGTGATAGTTCTGCTTTACCTTGAAAGTGGACATAGTTCACTGAAACACCCAAAGGTAGCAGCACTGCCTGGATCAATATTTATTTTGTAATATGGCTTGAATAGAGAAAATCTCTGAAACCGGGACAAAAGCATTGCCAGACGGGATTTTACGGGAATTTTTAGTACCAACCTACACCAAAGTAAAGCTCGCATTCTAAGCTACAGCCTGGCAATGATTATAACGTTCCCCGACTGAACTAATGTAGTGAGAGTGGCGCAACTAAATCCATAGATGTAGGCCAATAGGTGCGCTCGTGACGCATTACATCAATTAATTGATGTAGCCTGCACTCAACGTGTTAATGTCTTGCTTGTAGTTGGAAGGCTTCCTTACCATTAACTTAAAAGGTAAATGACACAAGGCTCATCCTTTGGTACTTAGCAAGCAAGGCATGTCTTAAAAATAATGTATTGACTGATTGAGCAAGTGTAGAAAAAATTAATGTAAGGCTTTTGGCATTCACGCCTAATTTTTACAGTTGGTTAAAATCTGCCGATATTTTACCAGTAGCTTTACCGGTCAAGTAATCAATTCCTTTATTTTTGTGACACTTTTAGCTGGCATGGAACATGACTTTGTAATTTAAAACAGATGAGGACGGTCAGTAAACAAAAGTTGTTGTGAATGTTTCATTCACTGTCCCTAGTATTTCACGTCCTCTTCACTATATCAGTAATGGTTCTCTATCGGAATTTGAAGGCGGTAGAAATGGGCCCTATAAATTTGGTGTGTTTACAAATAGCCTTACTGTTTTTATTTTTATTATTTTTTTTATAATTTTTATTATTTTTATCAATATAACATTTATGTCACCAGAAGTTAGTTATATTAAGAATTTTCGAAACGTAAAAACTTAATCTTAAATCTATCTAAAATGTAATAATTGGGTCCAGAGATTTTATACTAACCATCAATTTGCTTAAGATTGCAGTAAACATATTCACTAGAGAATTATAAAGCTACTAGTGTCTACCTGTTGCTCGAAATCTAGCAATTGTCAATTACTGGTATTACAGGAGTTATTTTAAAACTAACAACAGCTATAATTTTTGATGGGTTTAAAACAGTAAGTAAACTGAAATATCATGTAACTTACACTGTTCATAACAGTTTGATATAATCAACATTTTCTTGTATATTTTTATAACTTTTTGGAAGCTGACCTTGTTTTTTTAGTGTTTTCAAAACGTTTTTTTTAACTTAACCATGGCCGCATGAAGTTTTCCATAATACTGTAGCCTACATGGTACCACCATTGTCACCAGTAAGTTTACAAAATTCAGTCAATTTTTAAATAGCAATAAAATTTGTTCAAAATTACTCAAGGATTACCCGATTTCCTGCATAATCTGTCTGTCACCATCTTATTTGCTTCAAATGGCATTCTTTTGGTTAGTTGATGTAATGAGGTCAATTATATTTACCTGTAAATACGCAGAGTTAAAAGGTTTGATGTTGTGCAGGTGTTTTTTTTTATAATTGAATTCTTCAATGAAAGTTTAAGTAAAGGTTTCTTGGATGTAGTCCTATTCTTCTAAAATCACTTGATTTGATGGAAACAGAGCTTAAATGTTTTTGAAGTACCAGTTTTATTTCACCTTAGAGAGGTTTCCTCAGCAATGATCACAAAGTACATGTTGCCTTCAATAAAATTATAGCAATGTGGCAAAAACTCATGTTAACTGACTGTAGGAATCAATGTTGCGTTCTTCATTATGTAGACTAATAACGATAACTAGGTGGCGTTCGCAGAGGCATCCACAAAATCGAGCGGAGTCATCAAGGATTCATATTATATTGTTTTTGTCATACTGCAGTAAAAACAGTCGTATTTAATGCATGCGTTGCGGGTCCGAAGTAGGATTTTTAATATTTAGGGAGTAAAAATCGTTTTTAGCCTCTATGGAGTAAAAATCAGCTGTTGTCAACTCAGTTGTAAATTTCGATTGTAAACGATTGCATGTATAGAAAATATGTATCCATTCGTGCTTCGTAATCATTTTAACCTACAGTCTACAGTCTCTTCCCGTAGCATTTCAGCATTGCAGATACATTAATCCATTCCCACACTTAACACTGCTCACCTTTACTACTTCCTTCACCACACCCTACGTCGTGGACCTGTTTCCCTCTCTTCTTGAAACTTTGAGACCCAGTGGGGCGGATTTCTGAGATTCTTTTTTAACGCCATATAGATGTTGGCACTCACCGATATGGTCTTTATCACCCAGCAAAATTTGAAAACGATTGATTTAGCCGTCTAGGAGGAGTTTGCGTATTACGAAATGCATAAGAGTCTATGTATAAGAGCTTGGCTCGCTCCGCTCAATAAAATTCTTAATAAAATATTAGATCTATTTCTTCTACTTTTTTATTTGGGGACGTTCTATGATTTTTCTGCGTTTCCATAATTTGCAAATCGGTTCTTTCAATGATTGCTCAAAAAATAAAGTACCGTGTCAATTCAGTTTGGTTATTTGGAGAAATATATCAAATTACTGAGGCTTTCTCGCCTTTTCCATTATAATGTGTACGCAAACCCAGATTTAAATTAGTAAATATTTAATCTAAGCTAAGTCAGTAAATGTGTCTAGCACCATAGACAAAAAGAATTAAATATAGACCATCAGCTGTGCTGCGGTTACCATAGGTTTTGGCGCACACCACTGGTAGCGCCATGTAGTTACGGCGTACACGCTATGTAACTACACGGTGCTCCCAGCGGAAGAACCTACGGTAACCATGGTAACCGCAGCACGGCTAACAGTCTATATTTAATTCTTTATGGCTATGGTAGCACATTTCTTTGAATTGCAACTAAAATGTTAACAGCAATTAAATTATCCAGCTGATCACAATGTAAACAAATCATGATAACATGGGAACTTAAAATGTAACATGTAAGACCTTGTATAACATCTACTCAATGAGATCTTTCCAATGAGCCGTAAACTAACAAAATCGGTTGAGAAACCACGGAGGAGTTCTGCCGACAAAAATCGTGCTTGCCTATTTTATATATAGATAGGTTACAATGATATTTAGGGTCTAATATTGTTTTTTTTTACTAAATCGGAAATGTTACAAATTATAAACATCAAGTGTTTTGTTGAATTTGATAGTGAATACTTAAGATTATTTCTGGTGCCAAATTACATTTCATCAATTACAATATAAAATAATGGTCAAAACTTAAATGAATTAGAAATACCTTTATTCGTAAAATCCTGGCAAATGAGGCAACTTGGAGATTTCATAAACAACTTCCCATTGTGGATCAGATGTTTACATGAATAGCTGTGAGTTCCATCTGAAACAACAAAGATAGTCTCAGTTACTGCATCTATCTTTTCTATATGTTACACTCAAACTCCGAATTCGGGCAATGTCCAAAATTTTTACCCACTTCGCGATGTGGACAGTGTGAAATACCCACGTCGCGGAGTGAGCATTTTTTCCGGACATTGGCCAAAGCGAAATGCCCAGACCGCGTTGTGGGTAAACTAGTTTACTCAAATACCGAAGTCAAAATGTTCTTCGGCGATTGAGTAAATCCAAAATACCCACAACGCGATGTGAGCAAAAGTAATTGCCCACGTCGGGTAGTGGATATTTCTTGTTGCGCAAATGCCGAATAGAATAGCCTGTAACTACCCCATGCACAAATATCGACATGAAATCTACAATCCCTAGGTGAAATAAAATTTAATTACGTTTAAAATGATATTTATTTAATGTACTAGTATAAATAACATTTTAGAAAAATGCAGGTAAACAGCAAAAACTACCAAATAGGAATAATTATTAAAATGACCGTAACAAATATACTGCGGGTCCCATGCCTCTCTTTAAATTAAAGTTTCATAAAGGTTTCTCTTGCTTAGCTTAGTCAAGAGGTGTTAGGTTAATGAGACATAAGACTGCTTGGGTGTTACTCAACGTGTAATGAACAAAATTTAAATTTAGAAAAAACAATAAATGTAACAAAGTGTTACAACAGCAAAAGAAAACGTTGAAACTGTTGACTTAAGTGAAAGTAAATTACTAACACCTAAGGTTTTACTGTTACAATAATTATCTTTTATTTTACTGAAGTACACACACACAACATTTTTACTCAAACATAACTTATTCAACAATTCTCATTACTATAAAAACAATCCTAACTATTTACACATGGTCAGCTGTTACCAAAATAAATTAAATTAAATACAGAACAAGTAACAGCAAACATATTATATAAAAATAAAATTACATTCAACACCTTCCCTTAATTTTAATTTTATGTAAGAAACAAAAAATAAATATCTTGATTATCGTCTTCTGTTCAAGATTTTGGATAGTTGATCAAAGCTTTGCTAAATTGATGAAACTTAACATTGTTCAAGGGTTTTGTAAACATATCCGCAACATTCTCAGATGTAGAAACAAAAGAAATGTTTATTTTACCTTGCCTTACATTTTCAGTCAAAAAATGGTAGCGAACATCAATGTGTTTGCTTCGCTTGTTAAAAATTCCATTTTTACAAAGCTTAATAGCACTTTGATTGTCCATGTTTAGGTTTGTTTCAACATTAGTTCCACTCAACTCTTGCAAGAAAGTTTTTAAATATAACACTTCTTTGACACATTCCGCCGCTGCAATGTATTCTGCTTCAGTGCTGGACAAAGCTACAATCGGTTGTCTTCTTGTACACCAGCTTATTGGGTCTTCTCCATACATTATGACAAATCCAGTAGTACTTCTTCTTGTATGCTTGCAATTTGCATAGTCTGCGTCACAATATACATTTAGGCAATTTTCTCCTGATGCTGAAAATAATATTCCTGCGTCTTGAGTACCTTTAATATATCTTAAGGTTCGTTTGACATTTACAACATCTTCATTGATTGGATTCTCAACACATCTACTTTCTAATCCCACAGCAAGTGTAAGATCAGGTCTGGTTTTATTGGATAAGTACAGCAAACTTCCTACAACTTCTCTGTAAGGATAATCTTTTGTCAGGCAGCTTACTTCTTCATCAGGTTTGCTCGTTTTCACTGGACAAATGGGAGTGTCTACAGGTTTACAATCTATCATTCCATATTTTTCGAGAATACTGTTTGAATAGTTCTTTTGTGTTAACAATATCCCTTCCCTTGAATATAAAATTTCCATTCCAAGAAAGTTTGATGGGTTTTCGTCTGTTTTTATTTTAAAATCTCTAGACAGCTCGTTCAAAAGTTTCTTCATCTCTCTTTCATCTGAACCAGCAAGAATTCCATCATCAACAAATATAGCAAGATGAATACTGCCATTTGTAAAAACACAACGGTCAGAATGAGTTTGTTTTAAGCCATATTTTAGTAAGCAGTTTGTAAACAACTGGTTCCATTTAAATGGAGCTTGTTTAAGTCCATATAAAGTCTTTCTTAATTTTAAAAACTTTATCTTTATGATCAAACCCTTCAGGTACACACATATAAATTTCTTCATCTAAATTTCCATAGAGAAAAGCAGTTTTAACGTCAAATTGCATTAATTTGAGATTTTGTTTGGCAGCTACTGAAAATAACAAACGTAAAGTTGAATTACTTACAACTGGGCTGTAGGTTTTTTCATAGTCTATACCTTTTTCTTGGGCAAAACCTCTTACAACTAGTCTCGCGTTGTATTTTCCGTTATCCTTTCTTGTTAATACCCACTTGTTACTTAGGATCTTCTTGTTTAGTGCTTGCTTTTTGTCAACCACTTCCCACGTTTCATTCTCAATAAGGGAGTTTTTCTCATCCTCAATTGCTTGTAGCCAATTTTTTTTATCTGGTCCTTTGATTGCTTCTTCATATGTCAACATCACAAAATCCTTATATCTTTCAGGTAGTTTAGTTTTTCTTCTTAGTTTGATGCTTTGTGTAGTATCAGTATTACTTGAACTTGGCTGTTCTTCATTGATTTCATTTTTGTCTGAAACCAACTCAAACTCTATTTCATTATTACTTATCTCACTTAGATTATCTGCACTCTCAATATCTTCATTTTCAGTTTTGTCTTCTTTCTGGTCATTTTCATTTTCATTTTTGTCTTCTTTCTTGTCATTTTCATTTTTGTCTCCTTTCTGGTCATTCTCTGTTGTATTTTCAGAGAAAGTAACCTCATCACCATTATTAGTTATTGCAGAAACAGACAACAAGTTTTTACTGAGTTCAGGAACATATAGCACATTATTCAGGATACATTCTTTGGATTTTACAGTTCCACTCGTTGAAGCTAACATGGTTTGATTTTTCTTTGCAACATATATTTCAGAAGAAATATTTTGTTTATTACTTAACAAATCTTCACAATTTGTCATATGTGAAGATGTGCCTGAATCAACAACCCATTCAGATACAAAGTTTACAGTCCCACTATTACCCCAAACATTTTGTCCATCATCATAAGACAAAAAAGACACAGTTTTACTAGCGACATTTAGGTTCTGGTTTTTTCTAAAGTAACAATCTTTTTCATTATGATTTGACTTTTTACATATATTACAAAATAAATTTGGCTTTACATTTCTTTTTTCAAACTTGTTAACAAATTTTTTTACATTTCCACAGGTGTTTGCTAAATGACCAACAGCATTGCATTTAAAACATCGCCTTTCATTATCAGAGTTAGCCCAATTGTGTGTAGGTTTCTTGCAGTATTTTGCTTTATGGCCTGGAATTTTACAGTTGTGACAAACAACTTGGAATGCAAGATTTTTCTCTAGGCTTACCTCCTTAAACTCACTTCTTGACTCTTCTGCTAACAGTCTCGCTGTTAGATTTGCCAATGTCTTTTCTTCATTGGGCATTGATTCCCAGGCAGTTACAAAATACTTAAATCTATCTGGCAGACTGACAAGAATTTTTGATATTATCATTTTTTCATCAATATCTTGTTTTAAAGTTTTTAGTCTGTGTGCTATGTTTTCAATTCTACTTGTGTGAGAACTTATATCAGAATTAGGCTCATACCTGAGGTTAAAGAATTCTCGTAATAACGAGTACTTCTGCTGCTCTGAGTCTCTTTCATAAATATAACACAGCTTCAAAAACATTTCTCTTGAGTTTTCACAGTTAATGATATGTAACATCGGTCCCTTCTCAATAGAACTAACTATACACTTCTGAGCCTTGGCATCTCTTTTAATCCAATCAGCCTTCTTCTTTCCATCGCCCATATCTTCAAGTTTCTTAGAACCATCAACAATACTCATCAAATCACTGGATTGAAATATTATTTTAATCTGAAATTTCCACAATGGAAAAGTTTCAACTCCTTTGAGTTTTTCTACGAAATCATCTTCATTTACTGATGCCATTGTTAGTCTTACTTTTACTTTTTCACTCACCTTCACTACACTTTAACTCTTAGGGTTTTACTAGAAGATTACTTCTTGTTTTTACAGTTATGGTTGAATTAATGGATTTTTCTGGGCCCCATAACCTGTTGACTTAAGTGAAAGTAAATTACTAACACCTAAGGTTTTACTGTTACAATAATTATCTTTTATTTTACTGAAGTACACACACACAACATTTTTACTCAAACATAACTTATTCAACAATTCTCATTACTATAAAAACAATCCTAACTATTTACACATGGTCAGCTGTTACCAAAATAAATTAAATTAAATACAGAACAAGTAACAGCAAACATATTATATAAAAATAAAATTACATTCAACAGAAACGGCAAAGATCAACAATAGTAAGATAAATTAATTTACAACGTTATATTTAATTCGGCCCAGTAAACGAAGAAGGAGAATGGCGGATTAGAAAAAACAGAGAGCTACGAGCTTTATACCAGGACCCTGATATAATAGCAAGACTGAAGGAAGTATGTTCTGCTGTACCAACTGGAAAGCGTCCACTGGGTAGACCGAGAATGAGATGGTATGACCAGGTTAAGAGAGATGTGAGTCAGTGTGGAGGGACAGTGGAGATGGCAGCGGACAGAGAAGCGTGGAAGAGGCTGATCTACGAGGCAAAGAATCGACTGCGATTTGTAGCGCCCCAGCAGTAAGTAAGTAAGTATATTTACAAGAAAAGAAAATCAATTGAAAATTTAAAAGAATGAGTAACTGAGAAATTATATGACTTGTTTGTTTTACAAAACTTTAGTTGTATATTTTATTCCCTTTACATAGGCTACTGTTTATTGTCCCAGAAGCACATGCACTGATACACGCACTCCGAAACTTTCGATCTTCTTGGTCCAGTGGCCCGTGGTGATCTCCTTGATTTTTTCCTTCAGGTCCTCCAGCTCCGAGACTCCTCACCCCTACATCT